ATATTATAGATAAGCTAACGCAATTAATGAGAATACACAATCTAATTTCAGATACCTTGAATACCCGTCTTGAATACCTACCAGGTAACTCTCACCATACGATAAGAACTTCTGAGATTATATATAACGCTGATGTTAAGATAATTACTAAATATGTTTGGCGAGAAAATGGCGGGGGGGAAGAGAAGGGAAATGTCAGTTGTTCACACAAACATACAGAGAGATCTAATTATAGTAAGAAAACAACTGACAAATCCATGAAACGTGTTACCTCTCCCATTAAGACTCAGTTAAACACACACGTAACTCGCTGTTTTTTTTAATTCATAGACAACAGTTACAACGACAGCCTTTTTGATATCTGCAGTTTAAATTTCCCAGAAAATGACACAGAAATCTTCAATCCAAACAAGGGAACGCCAAACATAAATTATGTGTGCTGACTGCATAACGCCTGTGCGAGAGAAGTTGCTATCGTAGCACGGCGCCTTAGAACAAGAGAGAAATTCAGTCATGAACACAAAAGGGAATACAGAAGCTTTGCATGTTAAAAGGACATAAATGCTTCGTTTTACGTTTTTATGAAGCTGTTTCAGCTGCAGAGGTTTTTCTCGGCAAGGTAAATAACGAGATACATTTTTAAAATGTGACCACTCCGTGGGATTTGAAGTTTTGAAGGCGGTGAGTCTGAAGATGGCTGTCTTCCGACCATTCGGTCTTCACATTCTTTCCATGAACACTGGATCGCGACTTTCATAACATTTGGGCGTCTATTTTTATATAATCTTCTGTTATTCTGTGAACACAGATGTCTTACGTTGGACTAATTGCTCGTTTAGAGAATTCAATCGTCTGTCGGCACTGACTTTCGAAAATATTACAGGCCAAAGTACGAATAGGAATGTAACGCCAACCAACTCCCCCCTCCTCCACAAAAGAAACACTGACTAGTAATTTGTGAGATTGTTTACCTTGCAGGTAGACACCATGCGAAGGACACATTTTCTACCCAAGGAACTGAAAGTAGAACACAAAGTTGTCATTTTGAGATCCAAGGAAGTTTAAGAGACCTGCGGTCCCAATCGATAGATGTCTCTGCATCTTCAGTCCTGAAGATGGAGACAGTATGTTTTCACGAAACGTTGGTATCTACCCACGGATCTACACGGAGCCGAAAACCCAGAAGGACATTATCATCCTCACCGCCAAGATAACCTCAAATCTCACAACCTTAAATGAAACTGTGACAGCAACTTTTACAAAAGATCTCTCGCGTCGTCATTTTTTTGTAGTTTGATACTGATAATATTCAATGTTGCCTTTTTTATACCGAAAGAATATTTACCGACTGTGGTCCATCGTCGTTCTTAAAATACACACTCGGGGCAGCTTTCCCGCTCGTCTCTGACCAAATCAAATATTAAAATGGTACATTTTTCTTAGAATTGACTTCCACTTGGAACAAGGCAGCTTAATTCTTGGGAGCTAAAGAATAGAAGAAAGATCAAAATATCTACAGATCCTAAATTTTACAGAGGTACGACCAGGAAGTACGCGAAGTTGAGCGTAAATTCATTATTTAAAACGTGGAAGGCAAACTTATAGAAATTTCCAAACACTTCCTATGTAAAAATGCCTACATACTTATTTGTAGATATATACAATAATATAAATACAATTCGCATATAGACCCATTTTGCATCATCTACACTTATCTATTCTTACCGTAACATCCAAGCAAGAGTATAAAATACGGCACTTTGATTACATTGAAAGAAAGAAACTTTGTGGGGCGTTTACCAACTCCTCTGTGCATAAATTGAAATCCTATTATTTATTAGGGATATGGTAGAATACTAATAATTACATATTATCAAATTATTATTATAATCAAACGTTTGGACTTAAGATATCACACATGAACCTGACACTTTCGAAAACAGGAAAAAATGTGTGTGAAACTTTGGGTCTAAATTTTACACATTAACGTAATGTTTCACCTAACAAATATAGCATATTTAAAACCAAAGCTGTGAAGACTAATCCGTTTTTCACTTAACAGAAGCACAGAACTTTGAAAATTAAACTTCTACCTTAATTATGCATTATTTTAAAAACATCTTCAAAGTAACTTAATTTTGAGACGTTAATTCAAAGTGCTGACTAATGGAAGAAAACATCGTTAAAGTTTTAAATTTATTATTATCGCAGAGAGAAAAATTCTGTCCCACTTCAGTTTAAAAAAGGCATTATAATGCAATTAATAATAAGCGAATATTGAACATAAACAAAACAAAAAAACTAAGTATTATATAAAACAAAACTACTTATTAAAACCGTGTTACATACAACAAAGTTCTGTTTAGACAATTTTGTTATCGTATTTTAGTAAGGGAAATTTAAAGCATAGAAGAAAAAATTATGGAGTACTGCTGAACTCATACGTCCTTTATATGCAGCATGCATGTAAATGAAATGGAGAACAATTAAATATCCATGACATCTAGATTCAATTGACAGGAACTCTTGCAATTGTCACACACAATAAGATAACTGAATATTCATTCTTGGTGTAATTATTGACGCTTTCTCGAGGTTCTGGCGTCGGTGGTATGAAGATGGTAGTCTGGTGGGAGTTTGAGTTAGTAAACTTCTACCAAGCTACACGGTGTTACAATCCAGAAGACACCAGCTTAATAGTTATAAGCTGAATAGCAAGACGTAGATAATGGAGGCAGCAAGGTAGATGCCGACGTTTCGGAGGAACATGTCTACGATGTAGTTCTTATGGGTTGTGACACCGCGTAGACTCTCCACTCGCCAGCATCGCCAATTCATCCATGAAGATAAAAACAATTATGTTTCTCTGAAATGTTAATTCATTCATCTGATTTCTTAGAGGATTTCGTCTGTCTAGCATTTTCCAGATCACAGCATCTCTAGTGGCCCTGTTCTTTCGCTACACAGACTTAATCCTTATAACCCTGCCCTTCCGTATATCAAATTATGTCTTACTAATTTTGTTTTTACATTTAAATCTAGCCTTTTACAAAGATTATTCTATATTCCATAATTCTACAACATCAGTACAATTTATTATTCTATTATAAGCTACTTCCTGCTAAAAAGAATCGTTCCCTCTACTTCTTCGTCACATATTTCAATTAAGAAGTTACTATAAAACAAATGAACTTCAATGACTGTCTACAGATAAGTAAATGTGGGCTTATGGATTTTTGTGATCTCGAAAAGAACACTAAGTTTGCATAAAAATTAATTTTGTTTATCAATACTGGCCATGTACTCTATGATGATTTTTTGTTTGGAAACAAATTACAAAACTGCGAAACATTCAGGTTTTGAAGACAGCCATCATCAGACTCATCACCGTGAAAACCTCAAAACTTACATATTCCGATTTATATTTCCTCTGAACCAGGCTTGAGAATATTTGAAGTGAAAAAAGATCGGAGAAAACTACATACTGAGGAAATCTATTAGTTTGTGCTTTTTACAAAATAATTGTATGATCAAATTAACGATTACGAGATGGATGGGCATAGAGAGTGCATGAGGAAGATGAGTATTTTTATGTTTAAAAGGAAAATACCACTCGGAAGACCTAGGAGCAGATATCTTAAAGATTTTGGGCGTGATGGTGTTAATTGGATTCATCTGGCTCGGGATAGAGACCGCTGGCAGACCCTCATGAACAAGCAATGAACCCACAGGCTCCAGTGCTCCTAATTTTCATATCGGCTTTTCCCCTTGAACCGTCACACAGATTCATTTCTGGAAGGATAATGTGAAAGTGAATACCCACACATTAAAAATACACAAAAGTAATTTTAATTAAATTCTACCCAGCGGAACGGCAGTTGTGGCAAGAAACTTAAGCTAAACGTACGAAGTAAATAATAACAAAAATTACCTTGACTGCACCCGGTCTGCTACTTCAAAAATCCCTGCTAATCTGAGTCACGTAACTGACTACACTGCAAATTATTAACCGTCAATATTTTATATTCTTGCATTTCTAATACCACAAGCTTTGCTGTCAGCGAAATGAGTCCCTGTAAGGTTTTGTGTACACTTAATAGGTATTAGACGATACACAGACTACGAGGGCTGTATTCTGCTACAACATACTATTATATTTATAACAAAGTAAATATTTTACAAAGTATAATGATTTTTTAACCGGCTGCTTCGTAGTGCAGAATGATAGACGACAGGACAATTATGAATGATAAATACGATCAGAAAGTTTTCAATATTGGTTTTCTGCGCTATAACACCGCGTAAACTCTTAATTAGATACAATCATTTCGGAGAAAATACTATTTTCATCTTCAGTTCTGAAGATGGAGGCATTATGTTCCCCGAGACATTGGTTTCTACCTACAAGTCACCCTGTATTCTAAGCCAGACGACCAACATCGGTAATGCTACCGCAGGCTAAAATACCAAATTATAGGCAGTTTAAATGTTGCATATATACACGTAGTTTTGAAGTTCAAGGAAATGTAAAACAATAGGTATATGCATTCGCGGGGGAAGTAGAAACCGGATCACTGGAAAATTGATGCTACTCCTGGAACAGTTTGACATTTGAGAGGGGTTCTGTTATCGAAAATTACATCGGACACTCAACACACTGAATTTGCTGCACAAACTGGTACAAAAGTTACGATAGTGAAATATTCCACAAAAAATTATAAAAACGATTTTACAATTACCTATTAATTTTTACTTTATTTATGGTTTATTTTACGACACTGTCAACAGCTGAAATTCTATAGCTTCCTCGAATGATACAATTATTGGTGATGGAAGGGACGTAGAGAGAAGAGTTTGGGCCTGATTTAAGGTATTATCCTGCTATTTGCCAGTCTTCGATTGTAGAACTTAAACAAGGACTTCTGGGCAATAAAGCACTCAATCGCGATCTTCAGTGGTCCGTTTATGCTTGCGAATGATGGTGTGTTGTTTTGTTTCAGGTGTCTAATATGTTCATCATGAGTCTGGCCGCTGCTGACATAACAGTTGGAGGCATCGTTATGCCCATTAGCTCCGTGTATGCGCTCACCGGTAAGACATTGAAGATGTGAATGGCACAAGACACTATTTCTCATACTTTCATGATAAATTTATTCCACTGTTGGAAGTACAAGGTTAAACATAACGTAGCAAAACCTTAATTTATAAAGTGCCGGTAAACTTCAGTATGCTACTAGTTTATTGATTTCCAATACAGCAATTACAGGACTTTAAAGAATCTATAAAAAAAACGTGTTTTTATCTTTGCGAGTAGTATTAACCACTTTCTCAATGTCGGACCTTTACATTTGCAATCCAAGAGAATTTATGGAGAAATAAATTACTGCGATATTCGATACTCTGAACGTTCTTGTCTTAATGAAAATCTGTCGCGTAGTTCAAACAAGTCAAGAGCTCAGAAATGCTTTGTGGGTGCAACTGGCTGAATTACTGTATTTGCAGACACTGAACTAGGGCTAGGTAATCTACGGCACACGTATCACAGGATACACGCAAAGAAATTCTAAATGGAACTCTGATCAAAGCTACTGAATGACAAAAGTATTAAAAACAACAGAAGATTAGCAAAAAAAAAAAAAAAATGTGTAAAAGTGCTTCGATTAATTTCACGTCTATGAGCGCTGTTTGACTAAATAATTGACCACGTAAGATTTAGAAGTGTATTTTTTGGTTTTTAACTTCGAATTTAATACAGATATTTTATCAATTATCACATGTCGGAAAAATCTCCTATTGAACGACCTCAACATTAGTTGAAAAATACTAACAAATTTAAATAAAGATAATTTAATCAGACCAACACTGAAGTAAGTTAACTCCCAAATACAAATGAGATTTCAGGTTTTCACGGCTGCAAGAATAAATGTCGTGTAGTCTGGTGGACGTTCACTGAAGTTTCAGATGTGTTTGCAGCCTCCATCATCAGGGTGCTTCATCGCCCTGAAGATGGAAGCAGCAGAAACTCGTTATCACACAATTATAAAACATAAACACTTCAAATACATTTTAGATTACAAGATCTCTACGTCCTTCGGAACCCATATGGAGGCTTGCACACTTTAAATACTCAGATACACTTATTAAGGACTCCGAAATTTAATTACATTAAGCAGCACTACTCTAATAAATTAAATATAAAAATAAGTATACAAACAAAACTGTTTACACTATAAATGACACTAGTACCAAATGCGTTTCGACCTCAAGAGGTCATCATCAGTGGCAAAAACGGGGAAAAAAGAAAGAATGTGGTTTTAAACAGATCATAAAGGTGAGTTCTTTACAAAACCATATTAATTAACACTTCACTGGATGCTGGTTTCACAGGAGTTGATGTATTGTATTCTGCACTTAGCTATTAGTCCACTGATCTGGTGGCCGTTTTTTTAATAAATTAAGTTTAATCTTTTCTTTAAAATCCGTAAACATCTAATGAACACATCCACTAGATTCACACTTCTTCTCTAACATATTCCGAATGAAAGCTACTTTATCGTTGCCAACTATTGTGATACATAACATTCTTTGTAGCCTACCACAGTAAGATCAAATCACGACACTGAACTTCTCATTGTCATATATTCATCATTCTCAGAAAATCGGATGGGGTGGGGAAACAAAATGAACATACGCAAAGACTACTCGCATTATTCTCCACATTTTTTTAAATTCGCTTATTTCAGGCAAACAAACGATCCAACTGCTGGCTTTTTAGTTACGCCGACCCCCTCCGAAGGTATTTGACCTGACAGCAGCTAAATCACCCTTATTTTCAGGACTTCCATCTATGTCTTCACCAGTTATACGAAAACTCTGCGTCATTACACACACGGTGGAAATGTCTATCGCGAACATTAGAAAAAGACCTGGAAAATCAACTAATTTGAACGTCAAAAATTTCTCAACTTAATATCTCAAAATTGAAAGTAAATTAGTTCAAAGTCACGCCACCTTCCCTACCTTGCAAACAACGTTATAAGTAATATACGCGTAGTTCCAAAACTTTATCAATATGCAGAACTACACAAAGTTTGACCGCCTTAATGCCTCGCTAACTGAACGACTAAAGATAACTTGTTACATCTTATGGAGCACAAAGCAGTTCAGAGTCTAACATTTGATATCGATCATGAATCTTCACAAAGCCCAAGGGAGACAGCTTCGTGTCAGAGTTGATATTTCAGAAAAAATATATCAAACTAAACATAAGGAATAAAGTGAACAACTGACAGCCAAACATTCTTTAAGTCAATAAAAATAGCATACCTTTCGCTGTCATATTATAACAAGACAAAAGCCGTAAACTTCTTTTCACTGCCAAATTTGATTTTACCCAACAGTCTCAAAAATTGAAATTCTTCCGCTCTCAAATTCGGCTATAACGGCAGAAATCTTAAATTGTGAAAGTTAAGAATATTCACACGTGGCCGAGTACAAAGATTGCTGACTTTAAAAGCCTCTACACACTGAGTTTCTAAAAAGGATATAGTTTAGGATATTTTATTGAGTTCATTATGTTTGTCTTTTAATAATAACAGTAAAAAGTACAAGAATTCATCTACAGAATAATATCAGGCCTACAGATACTTCATGCAATTTATATTTCCTAAGGAACGCATATCAATTTGTTTTTGTTTTTTATTTTTTGATTCTCAAATCAGTACTCATATAACAAAATTTACAACCCGCAACTGCGTTTCTCAACATTTCTGGTACCACAAACCACCTCCCCTAAACTATCTCACACATTTTGATTAAAATGAATGGAAACTAATTACGAGTAAAATATAGATGGGAGGTATACTTTATTTTTTCATAAAAATGTTACGAAAAGAAACTTACAGCAAAACAGTATCGAAGAGAACAAAAATGTAGGATCTACTCCACACAAGTTGCAGACCCCCGGTTAAAAGAAAACCGAACTATGAGGTCTCTGACCATAACTACGTGAAGCAATGGTGAGACCTTATATAATCTCAAAACTGCAGTTACACACCCGGTAGAGGAGAAAGAAATGTTAAAATCGTCTAAAAATGGGGCAAAGATCTTAAACAAAGAATTTGATAGGAATGTAAAGTAATTTCTTACACGTAACACCTTCATACTTCAATTAAATGTTTAATTTGTGAAGTAGACTCGTCGTTTACTGTGGGAATATGTCAACGTCAAATACAGTTATATTCACTATCAGAGCATAACTAACAGTCATATCTATGTGTTCGTGGTACTTGTGTCTGTACCGAATGACATCCGGGTCTTGAAAGTAGCAGACACATTTATTAAAATACTTCGTTATAAACTACACATAAATCGTAGATGGTTTCACTCTCAGGTAAAGTGAAGTTGAATAATTCAAAATTATGCATTTTTAACTGTCTCGTGTTTGTTTTTAGTCAATTTTACTTGTAATTAAATTTTAGCCTGCTTCTGATTTTATTGGCTATTCTTTTAAAGTCTGTAACCATCCTCTCATCGCCCGTGTTTAGAAAGATAAACATTATTAGTCTAGTAATATGTGAGTCAGGATTTTGAATAGTTTCCTTAACATTGATTTGCGTATGACAAAATCGTTTGGGTGTTCTGGAGTAGAAATTACATCTGAAGACCAGTGCACAAGGTACTTGCGAGGCTCGGGGTAGTGTTTGTGTTCTCCTCCCCCATAATATGCAGCCTCTTCTGTCCGCAAATTCTACCAGGGTAGACTGCCCCTATTATGCTATTCTGTGTAACTGCTATTCCTTCCTTTTCAGAATTTACAGTTTTCTTTGTCCGTTACATTCCATTCATCTCATCACATTTCCGACATAATGCTCTACTTTCGTCACACTCTCAAGTTTCATGAGCAGCTCACTCCCTCATATCCATAATGATAGCAGGATTTAGCCAATAGAGCCTCTGGATAATCAGTTCAAACATCAGTCTGAAAGCGTTTTAATAGATCGGCTTCAGCATAATAAATGTACTTTGTTACGGACATTGTCAATATTCGTACACAACAGAAGATTAGTTGGTTGTATATTGAATTCATGCAACAAATTCCTCAGGTTAATCAACACATTTCCGTCAGTGCTAAGTTCGATAATTAATATTTTTTAAACAGATTAGGTAACTTATAAATCTTAACATTTACTCAAAAGTCTGCGTCGGTCCGCGAGTTCCGTGCGGTTTCAGCTTTAAAAACCGCCGCTAACACGAATTGCCCGATTGGTGGCCGTCCAGTTTTATGAAACAACAGATCTGCGGACTCGCGACAAAGTGGCCTCGCGGTCTGAGGTGTGGTGGGTCCTGGTCACTCTGACATTGGGATTGTGGGACCGAATCCCACTCGAGACATCGATATTTTTGTCCGTGCCTCTATGTGCTATATTGTTCTGTGTAGGTGGATACTCTGCGACAGTCCGCCTCCGCGTTCAATGAAAACTACCAAATGTCGAAGAAGTAATTAATAAAGATTGGAAGACCGTCAATACAACCCATGTATTACATTTCACATTTACACAAGATAATGGGTTCAAAAACTGGTAGGAACATTTTCCAGAAAGACCAAGACCTATACATGTATCACAATACTGATGTAGGTTATGAAATTCTCACCCATTCATTCACAGACCATCTTCCCATCTTCCTTTCCTTACAAAAGTGCAACCAAAGGAACAAGTGGCGAAAATTATTACGCTCTTCTAGGTTCTGGCACCGTATAGACTCGTCGGTGACTGGCAAATTTTCGGAGAAAGATGTTTCTTTGAAATTTTGGTCCCTACCGACGAGTCTCAACAGCGCCAGAACCCATGAGATTAGATTAACCATCTTTACCGTCGTGAAAACCTCAAATCTCACACGTGGCGAATGAATTGTAAGGATATTTCAACTTAGTTTCTAAAAAAATCATGGCAAAATCCCCAAAGTCTGCAGAAATGCAGATATCTGACATGAGCGTTTGTGTTCCCGCAGGTCAATGGGTGCTCGGTCTCCCAGTGTGCCAGTTCTGGTTGTCGGCAGACTACACAGCATCCACAGCGTCAATCTTGAACCTGTTCATCCTGAGCATGGACCGGTACTGGTCCATCACGTCTCCACTGCGGTATTTGAGGCGTCGCACTAAAAAAAGAGCTCTAATCATGATTGGCTTGGTGTGGGTCGGGTCAGCTCTTTGGATCTTACCAATAATCGGTTGGCATTACATCGAGTCGGGAGGAGAACGCATGTATCCCTCCACCGTGTGCGAAACAGAATTTGCAAGTAATGTTGCCTTCAAAGTGACTGCTGCTTGCCTCAACTTCTATATCCCCACATTATTCATGGTATATTTATATGGACGTATATTCTTCGAGATTAAGAAACGAAGTCGCTTCGATCTAGGACAGTGCAACCACAGCAGTAGACTAGAACTTGGCGCCAGTGCCGTATGGGGCACTGATTCAATTGCCGAAGATCAACCTCCAAACCATTTAAGCTCGAAGTCTACAACATTTACAAAGAAAGACGTCATGGCCGGAGAGACGCATCAGTTCCGTAACCTGACTGTGTTCTCATACAAACTTGAAGGCACTCAAAGCCAAGGACTCGTCCATTTCGAAGGAGTTACTGTCAACGTGGAATATGTAGAACTTGCTACAGCACCAACAGATGTCAAACAGAAAACTGGGAAGCAAATTCGCGAGAATTCTGCCGGCAGCCAATATCGACGCACGTTCGTGCACAAGAACGCAGCCAAAAGACGCAGTAACGATTCCGATTCCACAATTTTGCAGAAGGAAAAGAAAGCAGCTCTTCAACTGGGAGTGATCATGAGCGCGTTCATTCTCTGTTGGCTACCTTACTTTGTCTTGTTCATGGTTATAGCTTTCTGTAGTGACTGTGTAAATCCTATCGTCCACACTGCTACAATATGGCTTGGATACATCAACTCCACACTGAACCCAATTCTGTACCCTCTTTGTAACACAAACTTTAAAAGAGCCTTTAAGAAAATGCTAGGATTTGGCAGCAAGGATCCAAATGGCCTGATATCAATGGCGAGCCGGGTAGGAGCCAGACAGTCAAACCAATTACAACGAACATTAAATAATGATCAATATCTTCACTATCGTTAACAAATCAATCAATAGCTGTTACATTTTAAAAATGTCAGCGATCTAGTGTGCAAATAATGAAGTACAAGAAAATTGCGGGAATAATATTGTTTAAATAAAAACAAATCATGGAGTTTCATCACAAACGATGGACGAATGAACAGGAAAAGAGAGATATGGTAACTGTGGACCAAATCTGATATGTACCCTAAGGTATGATAACTGCGGACCAAAATCGATCATATAAATTATATGACAACAGAACTACATACTATTACAAACAGCCTCTATCTGTGATCATTCAGCCCATTTGGAAAGACGAAAACTGACAGACACCTAAACTAGGGTTAAACTTATTTATTGAAATATAGACGACAAAATGTATCGTATTTAATATTAATAAATGTATTAATAACGTACATCACACAGCTAATGATTTGGAATCCCACAGGAATGTTAGTACACCATAAAAATTCGTAATGACATAGGTTCCAAAGCGGATTA